AATTAGTTTTAGTAATTAAAGAGACTGTGGAATTCGTTTAAACGTGAAATGATTAAATTTGGGTATCGCCTATTTAATTATTGAAATTATTTAAAATAATTAATTGTTGATTTAAAAATTATATCATATTTCAGACGACGATACAAATATTAGGACAACTTAGCAATCGGGTTGATTTTACGAACATAGTACTACTGTGAGTGGAAAAATATAAATATTTTAAAGTATTTATAAATTAAATATATTATCAAAGTATGTGTAATTATGTGTTCGATTTTATGATTCTTACAGAAATCTCTTTTATTATGATACATATGGAATCTCAAAGATTTTTTAGGACACTTTTGTGACTTGGTATGTGAGACATGCAATATTGAGATCGGTTAGAAAAGTATCCATGATTATATACTTCTTATAGTTCACAGATGGACCTTGGCCGTGTTCTATTCTACATAGAGGGTTTTGACCTGACATTGGTCTTGATCATGTACAAATAGTTCGTAGAAGAGTCTTGGCCGTGTTCTAGAATTGATTATGAGAGGTCTTTGAGATCGACTTTCGTGCCAAAGGCCCGTGGCGAAAGTTCTTAGCCTAAGGGGTGGATTACATATTTCAGTCAGAGGGTACATTTTTGGTAGATTTTTCAGCACGTTATAGCATGGTTATCAGCAGATGTTATATCATGATTTTAAGATGAAATTTTATGACCTTATGTGAATATTTCACTTTTTAACTATAATTACATGATGGTAGCTTGTGAATTATCAAATGATATGAATTTGATTTTCAATAAAAATGTATAAATGAAAAAGTATATTTATTTTGAATTTCTCCACTCACTTAGCTATCAACTCATATTTTTCCACGATTTTTCCTACAGATAGTAATCGATTCTTTTTAGTTGGAAGGGTCTAATGATTTCAGAATGAGAGCCACACGTCATGTTGAATATTATAACTCATATTGATGAAGCACGAAGTAAATATTTTGGGCCATCGCATTATGTTTTTTTTAAACATTTGATTTTGTCGCATTTTTTGAATTAACTCATAATCAGCCTTGGTGATAGATTTGACGTCTAATCAGCATCTGTCATCGGCGCATGTCACGTTTCGGGCCCACTAGGGTGACTCGGGACGTGTTGTGTCAATTAGGGTTCCTGGATGGAAATTTTGTTAAGTTGTATTTTCTAGATACACAAAACCTGTCATCAGCTTGTGGTAATTACTGTCAAAGGAGATACCTATCTTATAACATTAGTTCTTAGGTTTTTAAAGTCGCATTGCGATTTCAGTTCCTTCATTCGCTGCTTGCAAACATTATCTTAATTCTTCTATTGATACTTCATTTGGATGGTCTGAGTTTTTATAGCCCTGAAATAATGAACCTGTAGCAACACGTTATACGCCTTTTTTGCTATGATATGTTCTTTCTTTTTTCCCAGTTTAGATAAATCTTATCATTTTTTATTTTATTTTATTCTTTTTTTCCTGTTAGGTAATCTTACCAGTGCATTGGTCCAACTGCAATATTTATTCTTGCTTCAAATTTGATGAAGTCCTATTTCGTTTCCCAATGGCTGCAGATGCATTCATGGAATATTCAAAAGAAAACCATACAGAAAAACAAAGAATCTTGCCTAGGATTTAAGTTTATGGGTTCTCTAAAGCTCAGGATCCAGAATTCGACTTTCACGAGGTATACTTCTTTTTCTGCTATCAGATCAATTGAATCATTCTTTCGAGATGGTTCTCTTCATGCATCAGTCAACAATATTCCTATCTTTTTTATTTTATTATTTTATTTTTATTTTTAATGCTATTTCATAAACAGCGAATTAGAATTGCGCTGTCATAGGTTACTTTTGAGGTGGAAATGCACAGGGGGTGCTACCGGAATGTAGCGCCTAGAGAATGGATGTTGAGTGCATCATTTATCCCTAGGCCTATGCAAAAAAAAAAAAGAAAAAACAGATCTTGGAAATTAGGAGCACCAACGTTGTATATAACTTTCATTTATAAGTCAAATTATTCTTTCTTTATTTGCCTCTTCAGCATATCTGTCGAACAAATACGCACATTATCAGCTTCAACGTGAATGAATGCTACATTTCTCCCATTTTTAAAATGAGAAATGTGTTTTGAAATAGTTATTTTTTGAAGAATGTATGGTTGAAAGATTGAAATTTTTTTTGGATTTACATGAAAAATTATTTTATGGAAGAATGTGTTCTGAAAATTTTGGACTCAAACAGGGTTTTACTTACATGACAAGTCATAACTACAACATTAAGTTGAATCCAACATATTATTTACAATGTTATCCTCTTTCTCTAAGTACTCGTTTTCAATTAGGATTTCTCTTCCCAAGCAGGGGACACATGTAGCCCTGTTTCTCTAGCATCTTTCTTTCAAATAATATACTAGTATAAATAAGGACCGTGCAATGATGACCGAATGCGTTGACAGATTCCTTGACATGCTGACATGGAACATGAAATAAAAAAAAAAGGAAAAACGACATCAGACGGAATTGTCTTAAAGCAAACAATATCGGACCCGGCCCAATTTGTCAAACCTCATATTCACTACCTTCCCATTTCTCCCAAGACAAAATCAATTTCCTCAAACAAGATCCTCCGACGCCAGACCTTGCACCGATTAACTCACACCCTCCGAAGCCGGGACGAAAGGAAGGCATTTTTACCGGTCGTTGGTTGCTACACCAGACCCATCCTCGTCTTCGTCACTGGAAGTAAGTTCAAATTTGTGGGTTTTCAAAGGATTGAGTGTGGCATTTAATTTTTGGGGGTTTCATTTTTGTTTTCTTATTTTGTAGTTATTAGTAGTCGTTGGGTTGAAGGAAGGTTTTTCCCCTTATTTTTCTCCTACATGGTGTGGTTGTAAACTAAATGAAACACCTTAAATTTGGGGGTTTCATTTTTTTTTTTTTTTTTATATTTCGTAGTTAGTAGCAGTCGTTGGGTCAAAGGAAGATTTTTCCCTAATTTTTCTCCTACATGGTGTGGTTGTAAACTAAATGAAACACCTGAAATTTGCGCTGCAGACTCCGAAATGATTTCGTGGCTACGTATTTGCATTCTGTAAACCCAAAAGAGTCAGTTTTTTTTTTTCTTTTTTTAGTACATGACTTCGAATTGCTGAAGGAATTTCGTTTAGGAAAAGTTTACCTTCATAAATTGAAAATAGTTTTGTTCCAGTCTCTATTTCTGAACTCAATAAATGTTGAAATTTTGATTTTTCTCATTATGGTGATTGGTGTGTGATATAGATGTCTGGAATATGTACAGAAAGCAATAGGATTGTTTAAATGGATTTGAGCTCTCATTCCTAAATTGGTTTTGATGTGTCGTGGTTTATTTTCAGCTTACGATGGCAGGAAAGAACCAAGGAGTATGTCATGGTTGTAGAGGAAAGGGGCATTTTTTGCTGACTGTCCAAAAAAACATCGTTGCCCATGGTGCAATGATGCATTCGTCAAGTGTTTTGAGGTGGAGAAAGAGAGCAAAAACAAAGGTAGATTATTCAATACGTGTACTGCAAAATATTGATATTGGAAGTGGGTAAAAAATGGTGAGACTAGCGGCAAATCAAGTGCAGTCAGAGTAACTTCGACGAATTATGTGACGAGCAAAGGAGTTGAAAAACTATCTTGCACGTTTCAATCTCAATGTTGACTATTTGATCAACGTGATGTGGAGATGGCTCTTAACGTTACAATACACAAAGGAAAAGTAGATGCGAATGGAGAGAAGAAATGAAAGGGACAACATCTGAGTTGTAGTTCTCAATATAATGACCTTATTCACCTATTCATTTTCGGCATTAGTAGTTTCATCACTAGTTGCAGTGGTTAACTTGATGACCCTATTCAGTTGTGGATTCTCGGCAGTAGTAGATCAATCGCTATTTAGTAGTACTGGTACTCTTTAGTGTTCGACATTGGCAATGGAGACGTTGGAACTGGTGGGAAGTTGATTTCTGGTGCCACTTGCGATTTTGTTGTTGCTGCTGTCATTGTAGCCGGAGGACCATGGATTAGAGGAGAAACTTTGGATTCAAGATTTTGCTATCTTTTGGATGTCTTGTAAACATTTGGCATGAAGCTTCCAACAACAATATGTCAACATAAATCAGAATACGCGTAAATTTTGCAGTGAATATAGGGAAGTGTCAAGTCTTTCATTTGGATTAACATTCGCCTGTGAGCAACATTTGAACTAACACAAGTTACAAGAAGGTAGGAATATGGTCACATTTATTTGTGTCTGAGGCATTATGTCAATTATTTCCCATAATTTGACTCTTTGATGACAACTAAATGCGAACTGAGAGATGAACAACAAAGCAGAACCATCGTTGCAAGAGCATAAAATAAGGAGTCGAGATTAAGGCATTATCGTTTATGTTTATTGGTTGAATCAATCAGTTGAAAGCTACACAACCTCTTAGTCTTAAAATCTTAAGTCGAACCAACATATTGAACAAAATGCCTGCAGAGTTTATTCTAAAAATAAAACTCAAATGATTTACATGCTGAGTACAAGCTGATGTGATGGAATGATGGAGAGTGCTGTTGTTTGGCTACTCTAAGAATTGCACTTAATCTCACTTTCATTAGTGGAAAGATAATCCATTGAGACAATAAACAACACAAAGTCGCTCAATATGCCAGAATACAACCTTAATTTAATCTCATCCATTTCCTTGTAAATTCAAATAAAGCATTAACATCAAAATTAATTTTGACAGAAAGGGAAATAATGGTGTATCTGCAACATCCTGATTATTGTAAGTGCCGCGATTAACAGTACCATAGGTTCCCTGAGCAACAAGATATCGTGTTTCCAACTTAGAAGGATCAATTTCCCACACTTCCTTAAGCTTTTGGCCCTGATTCTGGTTCTCTGTATTTCTTGACCAACATAAAGAAATAATGTATTGTAGAAGTTAATTCATATAGGAAAAAAAGGCATAAACTAGAATACCAATTTCCAGCACCATAGACTCGAATAAAAAGGAGGAATAAAATAAAATAAAATTTCGCGTTATGCAACCCGAGAAACATCCACCGTTTCCTTCAAAATTTAAGTACAAAATGTTCCCTCAGTTTTGGTAATTTCAATATGAACCATTCATGAACAAAAGGGGATAAACATGTTGCTCTGCCTTCACAAAATTCATGAGACGCCAATAGGTGCACTGTGTAAATAGGCAATGCAGGTTCCGATTTGTTGATCTCCCAACTACATTCTTTACTTGAGTACCTACAACACATATGGAACGTTAGTCGACACGGTTAATGATTAGAATATCTAATAGGTTCAAAAAATTATTTGTATATGTGTACCAGATTTGTGTTATCGCATCCATATTCTAATATCATGGGTCAGCATTGTTGTTGTCCAGCACATATGGAACATAGTAGGGCACACCATGACATACTGCACACCATGACAATGAGTTCATTTGGCAAAAAAATACAAAGGTCCGTAAATTATAGAGTACTCAACCTCATCATTACCTTGACCATCTGGGCGAATGGAAGTAGACGGTTGTAAGTGTTGTGAGAACCCAATGCTCTGGGTCCTTCCCTACAAGGAAAAATATAACATGTCAGTCAAATTTATCCACAACAAGGAACTGGAATAATGCAATATACTAACCATTACGAACTGTGAATATGATAACGGTATTAGCATTGCCTCGAATTGTGATTGTTGGGTTATCTGAAACATGGTTGCTCCAACTCCAGGATTACTTTGGCGTGCCTTGTATTTTTTCCCTTTGGGTGCAATGCAACCCGCCTACATCACAGATTATCAAAACTTTATTTTCTTTGTATTTGAACACGAGAAATAAGTGTTGTGGTAAAGGTAATGTAACATATCGTCGCTTTATTTGAACTCAATTCCAACGGGGACTTCTTGCAAAGTTTTCTAGGAGCGCCCTTTCTCTTCACCCCTTTTGGATCCCGAACGCTAACGCAGCCACTGCTAATATCCTCTGATGCGATATCATGAGACGCTATACGAGTACTATGACTAGACAAGACATTACTCTCGTAATTGGACTTCGACGCATCCATCTGTTTGCATTGAGATTCAATCCATTCTAATATTGAACCATCTTTTACATCTCATCACAAGTAATGTTTGCCAATGTAGCAAATGCTTTAACAATCTTATCGTACATCAACTGTGCTAGGGTATTAACCAACCCGTCATAGTTCACCACAACCCTCGTGTGGGATCTGATAACATCTCTCCGCCATCTCCGTAAAATGTATTTATTTGCCAACATTTTCACTCCACTGCGTATCAGTACCGTGATTGCATACATGCATAGGATTCCTCGAACTCGAATAAGTGACAGCTGCAAATAACTTCCCATTTGTCACTTGATAATGAGACCAAGAATGTTTTTCTAGTACAATGATGATCATGTATGATGTCTTCGTGTATCTCATATGTCGCCCCCAGAAATCCCTTGCTAACAGAGACGAGATCGCAATAAACTTTGCCAACGAACTCCTCCTGAACTTCCTTAAACTTCGAAATTGTGTATACTGCCTTGAATTGTTTCTCCATTTCATACCTAGTCGCTCAAGGTACCATTTGTGAGAACGATTTGAAATCTACTTGAAACTCTTTCTCAGCCTTACTTCTCAATGCTCTTTCGTACTGTTCAATGCTTCAACGAGGTCGTTGAATGAACATACCCGTCGAAAAATGCATTAATACTTTCACTTCTTTGAGTTGTTGACATGCCCGCCCAGAAAGTGGTCCGCAAAAAGCAAGGAACCTAACGAGATCTATTATCATAAAGGCATGATAACCATTCATTGTCTTGCAAATTATACATTTCTATTATCGCTAGCCAACCTTCTTCGAATTCTTTAACAAATTGAGAATCATAAACCAATCCGTATATAGCAGAGAATATCGAAGCTTTGTTAATGTGAAATCCAAATTTATTTGGCAATTTTTCAATATGTGCTAAAGACACCACCTATGCTTCGTATTGGGAAACACGATCTGGATTGTGTTCTGCATTGCCCTAGCTTGATCAGTAATTATCCCATTAGGAGCTTGGCCGTTTATGCACTGCAGCCATGTTAGAAAAAGCTACACAAATGTGTCAGTATCCTCGTTCAATATGAGACCACATCCGAGGAGAGTAGACTGTCCGTGATGGTTCACTCCAACAAAAGGGGTAAACGGCATATTATACTTGTTCATTAGGTATGTGGTATCGAATGTGACAACATCACCAAATTCCATACATGCCTGCCGACTCCTATTATCTGCCCAAAAAATATTTTTCAGACATGACACTTCATCCAAATCAATATTGAAGTAGACCCTGAGCACCGTGCTTGCATAGTTGAAAAGTATGACTGTATTGTTGCGACATCACCTTCGCCAAGTCTTAGCCACCTAACTTGTTCAACTTAACTTCGACAGTCATTCTCAATGCAGGTCATGTTTTCATATCCACCTGCTTCGACAACTGCAGAATTGAAATTGTGTAGCAGTATTCCTGCAATGTTATTTACTTCAAGACAACGTTTCACTTGCATGCTTAATTCTCTGTTGTATCTATACAATCTGGATTTTAAAGGACTTGTTTTATGGTTGTGGTCTAGGTGCACTGTGTTAATTCGCCATATTCTAAGAATATCTGAGCATGCTGTAAGCCTGACTTTACATCCATTTTGAATGGTAGCGTGTGGCTTTAAAGAAACACTTGTATTATTGATTTTTTTCCCTTTGCGGCTGCAAACGTAAGTGACATATTGCAGAACTCCATCATCGTCCCTTTTCGAATTTTGTTTTCTCATACCCATGTCATATGCATATCTTTTATAAAAATCGAAAATTTCATTTTCGTCCTTAAACTTCATGCCCACCTCAGGCACAAGCACAGGCACAGTCACAATCACACCATTCCCTCCTGTTCCGTCATCACCTTGTAATTTTGTATTATCATGATCACTCTCGTCATCAGACTCCACCAACATAACGGCTTCGACATTGTCCAAAATTTCTTTCCCTGTCACAAAAAAACGATTAATGCAACATATTCAGTTTATTTATAACATATACAGATTGGGCTTATTATGGGTATGTTGTCTACAGGAGCAGTTTCGGTGGAATTAACAAAGTCATCATGTTTCTACTTAACAAATTTATGTCTATTCCGTCGAAAATAAGCACCATGTATAAGAATTTTTAGATTTCACACAAAATGAATTTGTAGATTTCATCTACACACAACAAACATAAAAACATGTGGTGCCTAAAAATAGTGTGGCAAGAAAGAAGGTCATATTCTACATGAAATAATTTTTCCCCATTTCAAGAACGTTACAGAGAACGATGATGGTGTCACACAACATTTACAGCTTCTTCTAGAAATTTTTCATACTCTTGCTCTGCAGAGAATGGTTGGCAGGACTAGTAGAAGGTTATCGTTGAGGGGACAACTAAAAATTGTAAGCACACTTTACAGTAATGGCCTCATTCGGGTAATCTTTCTTAACCAAAAAACCAATGTATCTACTAAATGATTTCTCTATAGGTGAAGAAGATATCCTCATCAGAACATCAATAGACGCCCTAGATTTTCAAACGAATTTCAGATTCGAAAAATAGTTTTACATTTTACAATAAATTTTACCTTTACCTTCTCTTGTCATAATTTCGAAGCAACGGTCGGCGAATGGTTGGAACGAAGGTGCCTAATCTGAAGGTGCCGCTGTTGTACACTGACGGAGCTGGTGTATTTATCTGGAACTATCAGAATCTAGAACGATGGTGTGGCCAAATCGGAGGTGTCGGCACTGTAGACTATGGTCGGATCGTGAGCGCCAAAATGGGGCCACTATAGATGAGAGCTGAGATAGCAACAAAATTGGCGCCCATATTTTTAATGAATTGGGGACGGAAATGGGTCGCAGTTTTCCTTCGTTACTTTTCATTTGTTTTTAAACAATGAGAAACAAGGTCAAAAAATTATTTTAATATATTGCTTACACGTCATTCGGTCATTCCGCAGGTCAAAAAATATGGTAAAGTAGCATTTTCCTATAAATAATGCCAAGTCCCATTCAAGTTAAGGTAAGAAGGCTTAAATAAAATTTCTTACTCGTCTTGAGTCGATTTTTACAAAAATAAAATAAGATCGTATTGCGGGCATAAATTTTAAATCCGAATACCTAGATTTAGTAATGTTATAATTAACCTGAAAACTTGTGAGAACAAGAACTTAGTTATATAAAAAATTATTTGCTCAATTTGCATAATCAAAAGATCATTATCCCAGTGAATCAAATTTTTTTACCTAGATAGTTACTGTTCGTGCGAAATTCGCAAATGTGCTGGATCGTTGACAAGTAATAAATTTAGTGAGTTAAGAGTTTCATGAGAAATAAAATTTAATTGACCGTGTTAGTACTTAATTAGATTCAAAGCGAACAAATAAAATTGATTTGTGATTTTTAATTATTTTAATTTAATCTACGAAAATGGGTTAAATGAGAATTTAATACGTATATGGGAAGAGCGTATTAGATTACGAGTCTACTTATTATTTTCTATTTCAATTCTCGACTACATAATTAGTTTCATTCATGCATTCTTGATAATCAATAATTCTATTGTAATTAAATTTTTTTTTCAAGCTAAATTAAATCTACCCTAATTACGACCTGAATCTGTTCCTATTCCGAATTCAAATGAATAGAACACATTCAATTTCACAATTATCTTAAAGATTGCACACATGATAAATATTATTTCTAAAATTTATTGCATACATGTTAATCAAACAGTGTTCTAGGCCTATTGTGAGTCTGCTAGCACTACAACAAGTAACTATATATTTAATTGGTGATTAAGCAATCAAATTATAAAATTAAGCATGCTAGATTAATCAAGAATTACAAGAATTTAACTAAACTTCTTGTCTTGAATTAAAAATAAATAATAAAGGTTTCATCTTCATCCAATACATGAGAAGAATTAACCTTGCATAATGTTTGAATTAAACAAAGAAAGTTTAAAGACATCAACGAAAAATTGATGAAACGTGATTAATTCCACAAACTTTTTCTACTTTGCACGTGTATGCTTGTATTTCTCCTACAACCACCAGCTTCTATGTATATATATTTCTTCAATTCGGCTCTCCTGTTGGCATGTATATAATACGTATAATTCAGCCACCATGTGTATTTATTTTTCATTTTTTGTTTTTTATGACGGGGGATTCTGCAGCCGCTACCTTTCGGGTGCGCACTGGGTAAGCTCTCGGATTGACGCAATAGTCTGCAAACCATGGAAGTCAAGTAAACCGCACTAGGCAAGCCTTGTGCGACAGACTCGATCGAGAAAGTGTTGATAGGAAAAATTGAACTCGTGATCAAAATCCTTCGTTCTCAGCACATGTATTTTATTCCCACTGCAGCCGATTTTCAATGTGTATATAAATCTTTTTTTTTTTTCCATCACAACAGCAACGGATTTTTCTTCTCCCAAAACAGCTGCTCAATTGTGTGTGTATATCCAATTCCATCCGCCTATATATATATATATATAATTCAACACCAGGCAGCCCTCTTTTAATCCAGTTGGCGTGTATATATGTAATTCCAGCCAAAAGCAGCCTCCTTTTCTCTTCTTTTACTCCCAACTGCTCCAAATTGTGTGTTGTTTATATATAAAATTCAGCCCAAGCAGCCGGCAATTTTCCTCTCCAATTTCTACTTGGAGCCACAATGTTTGACTCCAATGGAATTTTAGTTCTAATCAATTTCAACAAAGTGCTGAGTCCAATTAGAAATTCAATTCCATTTTTTAAATCCTTCCCTAATTTAAATTCTATATGTTGCGTGTCTTTATGGGTAAATTATCTCCAAGTCAGCCACCAATTGCTAAGCCCCTGTTTGATCCTCAATAAATTAAATTACATTACATTATATTTTTTTCTCTCCTATTTTCAATCATACAATCTTCCATAAAATAATATTATACGTAAATCGAAAATTTTTTCTTTTTTTTCAACCACTCATTTTTCTAAAAAATATTATTCCCCCCATTTTCATTTTCAGTTAATGTGCCTCAAACAGGGACTAAGTAGAAAGGGCTCCATTTTAAAGTCATTAATGCTATATTGTCCTTCAAGTCCTTCACTTTTCAAAGTATAAAATTTCACCTTCAAACTTTGCATCCACTAGCCAATTTAGTGCACATACTTTGAATTTTTCCATTTTTGCCTGTTTTCTTCTTTCATTTAATTCCTTTTTCATTTTCACCTATTAAACGTAAAATACAATAATTTAGAATATAATTTATCAAACTAACTATCAAATATCGTTATTTTAGGCACCGAATAAGAGTATAAAATATACTTATCAGTTATAAAATTGTATGATCAAATTGGAACCACGTTTTGACGTTAACAAATTTTGTATGATTCTAATAGTTGCAATTCTCCTTTTTCGTTGTAGATCCAATAGCTTGGATTGGATACTTGTAATGTTGACACTATCACGTTATATATTCGACGCTTGTGGGATAAGTTAGGTTCTACAAAAATTCGTAGCATATTCCCCAAAAAACGTTCGCTCTTATATCAAAATCCATCTTTTCTCTTTACCTTCTAGAGCACCAGTCAATATTGTCACAGTAGTCAACGCATCTCAAAACCCTAACCCTAAACCTTCCAAAATGCAACACCCTTCGCCGGACTCCGACATGCCACCACTCGCCTCCATCAAGGTCCGTTCATCCTCGCCTCGCTTCCCTCCCCCCATCACTCCTTTATCCACTGAAACCCCTACGGCAAATGCTCAGCGGAAGATCGGCATAGCCGTTGATCTTAGTGATGAGTCTGCTTTTGCTGTTAAGTGGGCTGTTCATAACTATCTCCGTCCTGGAGATGCAGTTGTGCTCGTCCATGTTCGACCCACTTCGGTTCTCTACGGGGCGGATTGGGGTTCTGTTGATTTGTCCATTGTTGATACTGAAAATGAGGAGTCCCAGCGGAAGCTTGAAGATGATTTTGATACTTTTACTACTACCAAGGCGTCTGATGTGGCACAACCGCTCGTGGAGGCTCAAATTCCGTTCAAAATTCATATTGTGAAAGATCATGACATGAGAGAGAGGCTATGCTTGGAAGTTGAGAGGCTTGGGCTAAGTACGCTGATTATGGGGAGCCGTGGATTTGGCGCCACCAAGAGAGGGAGCGATGGGAGGCTTGGCAGTGTTAGTGATTACTGCGTGAGGCATTGTGTATGCCCGGTTGTTGTGGTTAGATATCCCGATGAGAAGGACAGTGCTGGCGGTGGAGAGCCAGTGGTGTCTGTGGCTTCCGTGGTCGAGGAGGATGACGAGGAGCAAGAATATCATGATGCCCCTGATGATCGCAAAGGTCAGTATTTTTATTTTTCAACTGGTTCAGATTTTTCTAATTTCCTTGTATTCTTCAAACAGTTGCTTCCATTATGTTTAATGTAGTGTACCTCTGTGTGGATATAAACAAAATGAAATCTTTGGTAGATTAAATTGTTATAAAGCTTAAGCAGAGCCTTGTGAAGATTTATTACCTAATAGATAAAGGATAAATGGTATTTTTATGTGCCGTTTAGAAACTGGCATTAAAGCTGGCTGACAATATTTTTTAGGATTTTGATTTTATTGTCATTATGGGGTAAACGAGTCCTCTTTATTATGTGCTAAATTTATTTCCCTCTTGCAAAATCTGAATGAAGAATGTTGCCAGATGTTTATCTTGAATTTGTTCCATTCACTGGCCCAGTATAGATTGCTGGTGAGTTAAAATCTTTTGGCATCTCTAATTCTCCTGCTTTATGTCTGGATTTAAGGCATTCGTGTAGAATATAGAGCAGATTTGAGTTTACTTTTTCCAAGTTTTAGTTCTAAGTTTTATATGGATAAATTTGTCAAGATGTTTTATACAAATATCGGAACAACAAAACTGGTACTGGAATCAAACTTATTCCTATGTGAATGGATTTCTCTGTGAATTCCATTTTCTGAATGCTCATTATACAACATGTCACTGTAACAAAATCTAAATTTGTGTTTCTAACTCTTATCTCTTTCTTTGGTAATATGAATGATGTTGGAGAAACTTATACATTCTCTAGACTATTTTGTTCAACTTTTAAACGAAGGAGAGAATCCCAGAATGAATCTGATGATCCAGCTTTTAGCATAAATTGGTTAATTACCTAATCTGTCAGTCCAACCAGTTTGGTTTTCAATTAAAAAGATTAAATGTGGAAAGGCTTCAACCACTGTGTCATTGAAAGAGTAAAGTTACAAGATATATTGTTGAGTAAATTGGCTACTTATATTTTGAAAAGTAACTGTACTCAGAGGGTGTTTGGTGGGGATTAAAATTATATTTTTTAGTACATTGTGATAGAAATTTTTGAGGGTGTTTGGTGGGGATTAAAATTATATTTTTTAGTACATTGTGATAGAAATTTTTGAAATATATGGTTGAAAAGGTGTGGGACCCATGAAATATGTGATTGATATTGATTGTTTGATTTTGATTTAAATTAAAATCAGATTTTAATCTGTACCAAACAAGCACTCAATCTTAAACAGAGAGTAGTAGATTATATAATTTGATGCTTAGATTAAAAAAGAAAAGGAACTTATAATACTATCCCTTCATTTTCCCTTTAGACTATCCACAAATAATGCTTGTTGTATAAAATAGACGATTTATTTCATAATATACCATTACAGTAATTGACTTGTACGGATTTTTGATTAAGAGGTTCAAGTGTTGTATTTAGAAAGAAAGAGTTATAGCCGATGGAAACTTCATCTAAAACTTGACGATCATGAAGTAATAATAACAAACTAAACCTTATCTCCATTAAATTTGAGGTTCGTGACATGAATATTTGTTCGCCTCTACGGAGAATAATAACATCATGGATGTAAATATTTTAAGCCCCTGATTGGCATCCATTATTTCACATTCTACTACATTATTTTTCTATAGTACTCATTTTTAATCAGACATTCTTCATTAAAATAATATTACACGCAAATAAAAAATTTTTCCTTATTTTTTGACCATACATTTTTCATCAATCTACTATTCCATAATACATTTTTCAAAATTAAAGGGGCTCAAACACACCCTAAATTATTTTCAACTGCATCATGTTATGTTAAGATGAGTTGCTTTAGGTCTATGTAAAACGTGCTTCAGAGAATAATTGCATTATGCATATAAATATTTTAAATTATTTTCAACTGCATCATATTACATTAAGATGAGTTGCTTTAGTTCTATGTAATACATGCTCCAACCACCCAAGTCGTCATTTCCTTACTTTATTGTCAATTTATGTCACATCCATTCTATAGCAAAAATAAACATTCTAGCATTTTATGGTTCTCTTGTTCTGTTAATAACAGATATAGGCCTTGTTTGATTCTCATTTTTTCTCCATTTTTTTTTTATTTCAAACACATTTTTTAATAAAATAATATTACAAGCAATTTCAAAACTTTTCCTTATTTTTTAATCGCACATTCTCTATCAATCTACTATTTCAAAATGCATTTTTCCAATTTAATGGGGCTTAGACAAGTTCATAAGAGGCCAAGATATAACAAGAATTTTGGATTGATGGATTTATGTTGAATCATAAAACTGGAAGTTGGGGGTGCATTTCTATTTCAGTTTAATGAATTTTTGTGGAATCATAAAACTGGAAGTTAGGTGCATTTCTCCTCTCTTCAAGTTTTCCACTCGCAAGCATGTATGGTGGAATGGGGACCGTAATATCCGTCTTTAGATGTCCCTAAATGAACCATAGCACCCTCAATACAATGATCATTACTATTGTTGTACTATTTTCAGTGAGGGGGGTGTCCTTACTTGGTTAGCTCATTCAAACTCTTGGAAGGCAGACCAAAAATGGCAGTAACGTTATCCTTTTTTTTTTTTTTTTTTTAAATTTGTCCTCTTCGTTTAAAGAAAATTACCTTTAATATTATTTAATTTTCTCCTTTTTTTGGGTGGGGTGGGATCCGATGAGGTGGAGGAATTCGAGGCAGAAACTGTCTCTGCTAACCGTATACATCCTCTCCTATTGATTAGCATGTTTCTAGACTCTGAGAAAATTATGAGATACAGTAGTTTTGAACTAAGTGCTTTTTATCATGAATGCGCATACTTGACCTTTCTTTTTCTTGATGACGTTGTCTTCAAGGAAATTGTAATTCTGTAGTCTCCAACATATTTGTTATATGCAAATAGTAATGCCTTACTTCATAAATTAAGACCTGATCACTGTACATCTTGACCAAACAAAGTGTCTTGTAGTAGCATGGAGGTAACAGCTCATCTTGTAGATTTGTTTCTGCGAAATGGCATCACCTTTAAGACTAATGCTTAACAGATTACTCTTCCTCCTAAATCGATTATCTCTGAGTCTTAAGAGCATATCTTGACTCCTACTTCTCGTCCTTCTATAAGTACTTGTAAGATGGTGTGTTACTATATAACTTTGACTCTCTATTTTTTAACTAGTTATCTTGTTTTAGAAGTGGTTTAGTAGAAAGATGATGGTTATACCTTCTGTTAAATGACAATGGCAGCTGCTAGTATTGACTGTGGAGAACATGTTTGTCCACCAGATAGTGACAGTTGCTTTGGTACTTGTATCGTGGATCAGGGCATAAAATGATAACGAGACGACATCTGTAAATACTGAAGCTGCCCTGGCTGTTATGGTTGATTTATGGTGTTGGAAAAGGGCAATTTAGTTAGGAAAGCTTCTAGTTGTGTTATTTTTTCCTTTGGCTAAACCAATTCGTTCGGAGATAAATAATGGTGGTGTTGGAAAAGGGCATTTCCTTTCGCTTATACATGTTAACATGTCCGATAAGGAAGTTGCATCGCGCAACAGTTTGTTTTCTTCAAATTGTGGAAATTTGAAACCCCTGGGGTGAAAAATCAAAATGCTGAGAATTTTATTGCCCATCTTCTTCCTGCTCATGCGAGATGCTAGTGTCCCCTTCTTCCTGAAATTGCTTTTCAGTAATTTTATTGTATTCTTAATTTTTTTTGACAGATTCCTAACTTGAACATGGGAGGTGGTTCTTTTTCTTGGCCGCAGGTATTGTAATTTATGTTTTAAGCTTTCCTCTTCTCATTCACTGCTCAGCTTTCTGTTTCTAGGTTTGATTCTAATATAAATTGTCTTCTTACTAGTTTGATTTACATCTATATAATGACACATTTTGCAAAATTTTCTGACGATTCTGACATTTGCAGTATTGAAATGTAGAAGGCATTGCAGGCTACAAACCATATATTTCAGTTGTATGTGAATCAAGTTATGGAGTGCCATGTATATGAAAAATTGTTACTTTACAAACTTATCATCATCTACTTTTCACATATAACATTGCTGCTTGTACCTTGATGGTATTGTGTTCTGAAACAGCATTAAGAGTTAGTTATATGCCCTTCGATTTGTATAGACCTTTGCAATGTCGAGCTTCCTTTGAAATAAAAACTGCGCATTTTTCACTCTTTTCAGTTTCGCTGTGTACCACTTGATGAGCAATATATTTGTATTTATTTACAGCCATAGAACGACAAGGAATCTCAAAAATGGTATTAGGCTTTGTTTGTCTACCATTCTACCACATTTTACTATATTATATTTTCTACAGTACTCATTTTTAACCACACATTCTTCATTAAAATAATATTATGCGTAAATCAAAAAATTTTCTTTCATTTTTAGCAACACATTTTAAAATCAATCACTATAGTACATTATTAACAAATAATTTGGGGGGGGGGGGGGGAAAAAACCCCCCCCCCCCCCCCCCCACGCCCACCCCTAGTTGTGGGTCTAGCAAAAGGTGGTTAGAATTGGAAAGTCTTAATAATGTTGTTTTTGTTTCAAAAGCAACTATGCCAACTTTGACATGGAAGTTGTTGGGTATTGTGCCTTTAAGCTTTGCTTATTTCTCTCCCATGTCAAATATTAAGATATAAAGATTATATGAATAAAAAGTTATTGTAAACTAGCATGGTATGTTTGGCAAATTGAATTAAATATTATTGTATAATATTGAAAGATATAGATAATCAAATATTATTGTATAATATTAAAAAAATAGAGGTATTGTGATATGTTTGCTTATTATCAAGGAGGTGTCTAATTCGAAAGTACAATAAAATTTTTAATTATTAAGGTGGCGGTCAAGTTGGTTAACCTTGACGGTGAAAGTTTTGTAAATCAATGGAGACTTGTATGCATTATCACGTTTCTGCTACTAGTCCTTTATGGAAAAAACTCTCTATGCAATAGGTGATATGGTGCGTGGACGAGGTAAATGGATTGATCCATTTTTTTTATTTAATTATTCAAATGAATACTTCATTTGATGGTTAGATGGTCATTTTTTAGTCATTAGGATTTTTTGCGTAAGATTTTACTATTAAGCCATAGTTAGGGTTCCATTGTAGGTCGAATGCTTATAAATAAAAATATTTTTTTTTCGAATTTTGGATATTTTGATACTCAAAATCGATGGATTAAATCTTTTTTGATATTTTTGCACATGTCAACAATATTTTCATACCTAATTTTATGATATTCGAATAAATCAACATATGCTAGAAGGTGATGGTATTGATTGAGAACAATGAAACTTTCATCGTGTGTACATGTTTTATGCTTCTACCTATCAACTCTTCTTAAAAATAAAAAGAATAATAGAATATTTGGTTGCCAACATTTCAAAAATATGTAAAATATACCCATAACCTTTAAAAATAGCACTACTCATCCACAAAGGATCGAGGAATAAGCATGCTAAATCCCTGGTGACAGAATCCATTCATTTCACTAAAACAAAAGACCAAAGAGAAAAAATTTACGTCCAAAAATGTAAAATGACAAAGAGGCTCGCTTCTTCATTTATCGCCAACCACCAACCCAATCGGTCATCAAATCTTTCATTGCAGTGCACTTTGAATAATTAACTGATTATCATACCTTTTATGGAGCCAAGATTTTTGTAGGGTATCACGGCTTCAAAACTTAGCTTTGAAGTTGTAATTTTTATATACACTCTACGTTAAATGGAAAGGTGTAGACCATTTATGCCACGACCCAAAATTTTTTCCTCGATTTACATATAAACTTCTATGTTATCAAATAGTATTAGCCTCAAAATTTCACTGAAAACAAATTTTCTTTTTGTGTTCTTTCTTGTCCTCAGAGAGTAAGAGGGTATCGGGACCATATGATGCAGAATACTAATTGCAGGGCCGGTCCTAGGCACAGGCAAATGAGGCCTATGTCTCAGGTCCAAAACCACAAAGGGCCTATTTTGGCTCAAAGTTTTTTTTTAATATTTTTTTTAAAGAGGGAAAATGAAAAGAAAAATAGTTTTTTCATTAATTGTGAGATGATTGAGATATTTGTTTGTTGTTTTAATCTTAAGTTTTAAGTTAACAATATGTTGCATAATATATCGTTAAATTTTGCATTTACATTGATTTTGGGGGCCTAATTTTTGAATTTCGTCTCTGACCCCGAAAATCACAGGATCGACCCTGACTAATTGATCATTAGTTTGCTTTGACTTGAAGTTGATTGGATTTCTAATACACTTGCATTCAATAATTACAGCTAATTTGACATTTCAATACAATTTTAAGGATTTCTAATACACTTGCATTCAATAATTACGGCTAATTTGACTTTTTAATACAATTTTAAGGCATCTCCAATTATTGCATTAAAATTTGGGACCAATGAAAAATCATCTCTAACGCAGAACGAAAGTTGCATCAAATGAACAATGTTTCATCATTTTCTTTATTTTTTTTATTTCTTAATAATTTATTTATCTCAAAATTTATTTAATTATTTATTTTATTAATACATAAATTACTAAATAAATAATTACGTTTAGTTAACGAAAATATTGATATTAAAAAATGTGTACACTTGTAGTACAACAATTAAGAAAAGATTACACTCAACATTGTAATATTAAAAAAATATGTAATATATTTTGAATTTTGATATCATGATATTATGAAATTCAACTAGTGTTGTCATTTAATTCTCGAAATTAGTATATTCATCTGACAAATGACCAATTAATGCATTTTGAAATGCAATTTGAGTGTCTATGACATGCAAGGAAATCTTGAAAGCGATGATTTTCGACTTCAACCAACTCAACTTCTGGAGTTGGAGTTTCCATATGACCTTTTGCCGTATTATAATAAATAAGTAAAATTGTTATTCTTCAAAATTCCTCGTGCTACATCCTTCTGCTGCTTGCCAATGAAGATTTTGTCTTCCTTACTCTTTTACATTCTTCTCTTGTCTTTACTCTCGGGATTCCGCAGAGCTGCTGATACATTGAGCTCAAATGGCACCATCACCTACGGTGAGACTTTGGAATCCTCAGGCCAAAGCTTTGAATTAGGTTTCTTTTCCCCCAATAATTCTGGCAAATGGTACATAGGAATATGGTACAAGAAATTCCCAGAAATCATTGTGTGGATTGCAAACAGGGAAACCCCATTAAGGAATTCATCTGGTGTTTTAACAATCACCCCTAATGGAGATCTTGCTATTATGAATGCAACGACGGGCGATATTTTCTGGTCATCCAATTCTTCTAAAAATGAACCAGCAACAGTGGCACAGCTATTGGAATCTGGTAACCTTGTACTCAGAAGAAAAGATGATACCACACAAAACTATGTATGGCAAAGCTTTGATTTCCCATCCGATACGCTTTTACCAGGAATGAAACTAGGGTGGAATTTGAGCACCGGCACAAACAGGTATATAACATCATGGAAAGATGACAATGACCCCTCTCCTGGAGACATTACTTTCCGACTTGACAATATTGGGATGCCTCAATTTATTCTTCGCAGGGGATCAGAAACAATTTACAGGTCAGGGCCATGGAATGGAATTGAATTTAGCGGTTCCATTGACTGGAAGACGGTAGACACACGCATTTTTGTTTACAATAATCAAGAACTGTACTATATGAATGGGGTTGTCGACAATTTAATTATTACCAGGCTTACAGTGTATCCATCAGGTTCAGTCCGACAACTCATACTGAAACAGGGGGGATTCTCATGGACTGTTATGGATTCATCAATGAATGATCAGTGCGATGACTATGGATTATGTGGTGCTAATAGCATTTGCAAAACCAAGAGTAGACCAATTTGTGAGTGCTTATACGGATTTATTCCTAAATCGCAGAGTGAATGGGATGTACGTGACTGGTCCAGTGGATGTGTGAGGAGGACTCCATTGAGTTGCCTGCAGGATCACATTAAATTTTTAAAGCTTGGAGGTGTGAAATTGCCAGATCTCCTTCAGTTTTCACTAAACAAGAGCATGAGTCTAAAAGAATGTCAGGCAGAATGCTTGAAGAACTGCTCTTGCATGGCTTACGCAAATTCAGATATTCGTGAAGGTGGTAGTGGTTGTTTCATGTGGTTCGGGGATCTGATCGATATTCAAGAGTTTTCTGAAAGAAAAGAACGATACATCTACATGCGAATGGCAGCAGCCGAACTTAGTAAGTATATTCAAGTTTATCTTAGGACAGAATTTGAATTCTTTTTCTATGTAGGACAGATGATCAATCAGAATATTGTTCTTGCGTAATAGTACTGCACTTTTGAAACTAGTACTGTGAAAACAGTGTTAATATATTCTAGTTATTAAGGTACAGCCCTATAATTAATTAAATCTTTAACATTCAGATCACAATAAAAAGACGACACTGGTGCTGATCTTGGTCATATCGTTAGTTTGCGGAATGTTTATCCTCGGCTTCTTGATCTTTCGTCTCATCAAGAAGAGAGAATCGAAAAGAGGTGCGCAAACTTTTCCAATCTCATTGAATTAAATTAACTGGTTTTCCTCTGATCGTTATCCAACTGATTGCTGACAGCATTTGATATCGATGTGAAAGATATAGAGCTGCCAATGTTTGATCTGAGTACAGTTACTAATGCAACTGAGAACTTCTCATTAACAAATATGCTTGGAGAAGGAGGATTTGGAATTGTGTACAAGGTAAGAAAGTCATTTAAGTTTTGAATGATTTTGTGGTTGTTGATAGTGAGCAGCGGCCTCATGACAGACCCTTTGTGTAAGTATTATGCCCTAGGTCCAATCGACTTTGGACATAAATACTTTTATATATAATTAATGCAATTAAATGGCAGATCTATTATTTAATTAATAGACAATTAAATAAATAATAGAGTCCGTGGATTCAAATATTTGTAATTTATTAATCACAAGGAGTTGTGATTGTGAGATACAAATTACATCTGATTGAATCTTAAATCATCCGTGGTCGTAAGTAATAACGAGATACGGATATCGTTATTACGGATAGACCATCACGTGTGGCATTTCTTACTTGTGAAGTAAGTTGCTGATCTCACAAGTTAAAGTGTGGTGACACTTAAATGAACACGTGGATGTTTGTTATAGAACAAAACATTGGAGACCCGTCGAGAGATTCCACATGGATAACTATCTGAGTGTCGGTGGTTAATCTCTAACGTTCGATAGTGAAATTGGTCCTTTGACTTGAGGTCGTCATGGTACCTTATATGAGGACAGTCATACTTTGGCGGTGTTGGATGTTGCTCTGAAAAGGGCCGCTAATACGACATCGTTCGGGTACGTCAAGAATCGTATGAAGGTTGTGATTGATCAATAAAGGATTCGTCACTCTTAGATAGTAGGAGATTATGATCTGCGTTTCATTCAATTAAGTCAATGATCAAATCCTTGGCCAAGGTGTACACATAAGTCGAAAAGGAGTTTTCGATTTATATTGACTTAATAGTGGAGTGAAAGATATGATCGATGATCGAGATTGACACAATTCCATATCTCGTAATTGATCGGATCATATTGACGAAGGGATTATAGTTTCACGGTAAACGAACGAATTTGGTTTTGTCATACCACGTGACATTTCCCGTCACATGTATTGCCCTGACACATTGCTAGATATCAATCAGGGACTTAATTTAACAATCGTTGGATAAATTAATTAATTGGATTTGTTATTTATATTTTCGAATTAATTAATTGGATTAATTAATTCACGGACCGGGTTTAATTAATTGGATTAATTAATTATTGGGCCGGACCGGACCGAGCCTATTTGGGTTTATATAAATACATAACTAGGGTTTGAGGTCCATTAAGGTTTTCATTATTCTTGCTAGCACAAGAGAAAACCCTAGAGGCTGCAATCAAATTCTCTGTGTGGATCACCGTTGGAGGCTGGACAATTGGACAGCTGTGGTGGCGAATCAAAGTTGTGGAACGAAAAGAAAAGCAAAAGGATTGCAGATCTGGAAAAGGTACAATCTTATCACAATTCCTAACCAAACACAATGAGATCTATTGGATGGGAATCGAAATATATTTTAAATTCCGCTGTGCATGTATAAGTAGATTCCCAGCACTTTGAACAATGTACAGGGAAAATTACCAACAGGGCAAGAAATTGCAGTGAAGAGACTCTCAACGAATTCTGGACAAGGTCTTCAAGAGTTTAGGAGTGAAGTAATTCTGATTTCCAAACTTCAACACCGGAATCTTGTTTGGCTTTTGGGATGTTGCCTTGAAGGAGATGAAAGGATGCTAATTTACGAATATATGCCCAACAAAAGCTTGGACAATTTCATATTTGGTTAATCTGCCTCTATTGATCTCCTATTCGATGAATATGATGTATATTTTCCAACCACTAAGTTGTCCATATATTATGAAATTGTTGCAGATCAGCATAGAAAAACATTGATTACATGGAAAAAGCGCTTTGAGATTGTTATGGGCATAGCGAGAGGACTTCTTTACCTTCATCAGGACTCTCGATTGAGAATTATTCACAGAGATCTTAAGAGTAGCAACATTTTACTAGATAGTGACTTGAATCCCAAGATTTCTGATTTCGGCCTCGCAAGAACTTTTGGTGGAGATCAAACTGAAAGCAAAACAAAGCGAGTAATTGGTACTCAGTAAGTTCTATTTTAACTCCCCATTCTGAGAATTAAAATATGGATTTACTTTGTCTAGAACCTAACCTCAGGTTCATGTAGTGGCTATATGTCGCCAAAATACATTGTTGACGGGAAATTCTCGGTGAAATCTGACGTCTTCAGTTTTGGAGTGCTTTTACTAGAGATAGTGAGTGGTAGGTGTTGCATAAATTTGAAAGGAACCATATTCATAAAATCCTTCCATAAAATCATAAATTCCATGTTGAAATCAAAGAGACAAC